CAGCTTTTTTTGTTGTCTTTGACAGATCAAAGAGCTTGAGACCAGAGAGCTGCATGCAATTTTCAGCTGCAAACAAGTCACTGAAGATTTGAGTAGCAGCCGTGCAATGTCTGTGTCACTTCTGTGCTCGGGGTGCCAGCGGGGTTTTGTACTCCTTGTTCTCTTGGAAGAACTCATTTCCTCTATATTGAGGGAAAGTGTTATTTACTATCCTGAAAAGCCAGCTTTTGCCTCAGCAACCAGCCTGCTGGGATGTGCAGGATCCTGCCTGGAGCTCCTTGGTGTGGACCAGGAGGTGTTTGTCTGCCTTGTGTGCATTCTTCTGCATTGCAGAAAACAGGAGTGCTCATCTATGCTTGAGTCTCACAGGGCTTCTTTCCATCCAAAGAGGAACAAACAGCTGTTTCAGATGTCGGTGGCTGTGATTTAGAAGCTTGTTATTTTCCAGCTTCACACAGGATGCAGTTAATACCTTCACATAGGAGCTTCAGCTGAGACAGGCAGCAGCTCTGGGTATTTCACTGCTTCCACGGTTACTTATCCCCTTCATCTTTCAACAGTCCAGGCTTACCCAGGTACCCAAGAGCAAATTAGAGACATGATCCTTCTGCCTGTGTAATCAGCATCTTCACAGAATCATTAAGGCTGGAAAAGACCTCTGAGATCCCCGAGCCCACCCCTCCATCCCACTGCCCACGTCCCTCAGTGCCACATCCTCTGAACACCTCCAGGGACGGTGACCCCACCACTGCTGGGCAGCTGTGCCACTGCAGCACTGCTCTTTCTGAGAAGAAATTTTTCCTAATATCCAAGCCAAACCTTCCCTGGAGCAACTTGAGGCCAGCACCTCTCATCCTAAAGTTGTTATTTTGGAGATGAGAGCAGGGCATCTCCTCTGGCAGAGCCTCTGTGCCTTGTTCATAAAGCATGTACCCTTGCCACCTGGACTCCTCAGTGGTTGGATGGACTGCCATTTTTCTACACGTTGGAAGCAATGTGGCAGACAGGCATGTAATTGAAAGGCAGATGGGATTTATGGTTGGATCAGAGCAGGCCCAGTGATCCATTCCTATACCTTGACTGTCAGTCTTGGTTTGCCTTCCCCTCAGACTGCAGGAGTGTCACTCTGGCTCTCTACATGTGTGCAGGAAGATTCCTTGCTGGGCTTTTATTTAGGCTTGTGAAGGTCATAGAGCATTTAACCTCAGTTTGTCAGAATCAAAAACAGTGACATCTGAGCAACTTGATCCTGTGGGCTTCGGTTTCCTACATGGGAGATGCGCTGGCAAAAGTTCAGCTGATAAAGGAAGCTCCAAGCAACTGGATTGACTTCTCATGGAGCAAAAGGAGAATTGCTCCCCAAAGAGCTGCACAGGGGGTAGCAGTGTGCTGCATCTGCTTGGTCCCCATGGCATTTTTCTTCCTTTGCTCTGCTTTGCTGAAATCTTTGACTGCTGGCAATCAAGGCTCTTGTTTGCCCTCTGGGACCAGAATAAAACATGTAGGAAATGCATCCATGACTCGGACACAGCTCTGTCAAACTGGTAAAGGCTGTGTCTTGGGTGTCTTTACTTTTGCACCTCTGGAAATACAGTAATGCATACTGGCTCTCTATTCAGTCTGAGGATTGTGGGCTGCTTAGTGTGCCTGGTTATGACTTGCTATAAAGTCTTTGAAATTTGACTGCATTAAGGGCTCCAGACATTGTAAAGCTTGCTTTTATTTGTATTTTATGCATGAGTGTTAGTGGCACATCTGCATGCTTCATAGCATTTTAATCCTACACCAAACTTTTGCACTGAAATAATTGATCTGCTTGCTGTGCTCAGGGTTTATTTCTCCCAGAATCACAACAGAGAGAAAGGGCTTTCCTAGGAAGCAAGACAGAAATGTTGGAAGATTTTCGGTACCTTTCTTTCAGAGGTTGCTGCATCCTCAGTCTGATGCAGTCGAAGGGCCAGTTGTGGTGCAGGGATTTGATGTGGCTGTTGCTGAAGGGTTAGCAAGTGTTCCTTTTGCTGCAGTGGTTCTGTCTGTTCTATAGGCTGCCTGCTTTTCACTGGTCCCTCCTGGAAGAGCTGAGCAGAGCAGTCAGTGGATTAGCCATCAGAGCAGCAAACAAGGTTTGTGGGAGCAGCTGCAGGAAAATATTGACGCAGTACTGCCTTTTGTGGGGGGATTTGAGCTTGTTTAGCCTGTGAGAAACATTCAGGAGATGATGATAACGCGTTGGGCAAGCATTCAAGGAAACTCAAACCTTTTTGTGGGTAAGTGCTACCCAAAGCACTGGGGAGCAGCTGCCAAAGAATGGCACTGAGAAATGGCTCTTTGTCAATGATTAAGGTGGAAACTGGGAGGGAGGAGGCAGGAGAGGAGGTGAGAACTGAGAAAGGTTTCTGTTCATGTTTGCATACCACTATTTGTGTGGATGCCCCATCCCTGCAGGCATTCAATGCCAGGCTGGATGTGGCTCTGGGCAGCCTGGGCTGCTGGTTGGCGACCTGCACACAGCAGGGGTTGGAGCTGGATGAGCGCTGTGCTTCTTTGCAACCCAGGCCATGCTATGATTCTATGATTCATTCTGTGAACCAGTGATTCACAAACCCTGTGTGTCAGATATCTAGTCAAATTAAGTACTTGTACTCTGGTTGGCAAATGTAGAGCTATTTGGAAACCCACAGACAGTTTCCTAGACCTTGTTTTTGTCTAACTCTTTAATAACAACAAGTTTCTAAGGATTTGGACACTTGTAAAGGAGACTGGACATAATTTCCAACCTGAGTTGTCTTACTCCCCAAAGCAGCAAGAGAACATAATCCTATAATGAAACATGACAATGCCAGAAGGTTACTTGCCCACTCTGTGCCTATGGGCTGTGGGCAGACTGATGCAATGTTGTTCCTGAAAGGAATCTGCTTTTCCAGGGAAATAGGAAAGTAGGATAGAGGACTGTTGAGTAAGTTGGGCAGTGCTCTGGGAGCACTGAAGGACGTTGCTGAGTTGTTGTGCACCTTATTTTTAACTTTCCATCAGGAAAAAGAGAAAAAAAGTTGCTAATGCTGAGATATATTATTTAAGGGTTTCAGAACTAGCTTGTTTAGGATTTTTAAAACAAGATGGCATTATTCTTTTCTTCCTTGTATAGATTGAGTACCTGGGTGAGTCTGGCGCTGGAACATGGCTCTTATGGGGAGCAACTGAGGCAGCTGGGGTGGGTCAGTGGTGAAAAGGAGACCCCAGGAAAGACCTCAACACTCTCTACAGCTCCCCAGCAGGAGGTGGTGGTGAGGTGGGGCTCAGCCTCTTCTTGCAGATCACAATGATAGGACAAGAGGTGATGGCCTCAAGTCATGCCAGGGGAGGGTCAGATTGGATACGAGGAAAAAATTCTTCTCGGAAAGTCTGGTGATCACAGAATCACAGAACTGTAGGGGTTGGAAGGGAGCTCCAGAGATCATCGATTCCAACTCCCAGTGATGCACTGGCACAGCTGCCCATGGAATGGTAGAGTCTCTGGAGGTGTTCCAGAGCCATGGAGCTGTGGCACTGAGGACATGGGCAGTGAGCATGGTGGGGATGGATTGGAGTTGGGTTCGGGGATCCAACCTGAATGATTCTATGATTCTGTGCTGCCTGCACTGAAACCAGGAGCCAGTGCTCCATCCGGAGCATCCACTGTGTGTCTGGGGTTGTGGGCTCCCTGCTGAGGGCCCTGTGGGCAGGACATAGTGCTGTCTCCTTGGGGGTACCTGGAAGCCAGCCTGGAAACTGCAGGAGAGCAGCGTTCCCTTTTTTCCCTGAGTGCTTGGCGATAGTCCTGGAACACTTTGATTTCAACAGATCTCTGTTATTTTCTTCTGGATTGTAATCAAAACCTTTTTTTTTTAATGGAGAAAGTGCCAACCAGCCGAAGCTAGCCCTGATTGCTATTTGCAGCCCTTGCTGAAAAGCTCTGCCTGTTTGTTCATGTGTGAACGTACCTCCCAACGTCTGCACAGCGCCAAGCGCAGTGGGCAGCATCACAACAAAAAGACTTGAAAATGGGAATGTTGATGCTTATTTCTCTGAGCTCCTGCAAAGCTTTGTTAATCATTTCACAGTGCTTTGAGGCATAGGGCTTGTGTGGTTTCTATCTCAGCAAAGTGTGTATCAAACACTGACAGTGCTAGCGTCGTTCATATTTATATTCAGTAATGATTCAGGCACTTGAAAAATCATGTCCAAATTACATGTTCTATAGCTTCAATTTCCTGTTGTTAACAAGGGAATGATTTGCAATTTCATGTTTGTCCTCCTCTATGCAGCCTGGAAGCATTGCTCAGTTTCTGTGTTGAGTGTCGCAAGCAAAGCTGGTTTCTTTTTGTATTGTCTGTTTTCCAAATCTTATGTCTTTTAACAGTTCTCTCTAAAAAAATATTTCAGTGAATCCTCCTGTTCTTATATACATGTACATTACTATAGGACTTGAAGCAGATAAACCTCCGGGAGATTCAATTAGGGCCAATATGTATTTATTATGGTAGCATCATAGGGTTAGCTTGTGATGATTGAGAACTGTGTTGCATTATTGTTTTTCCCTCATACCTCCCAGTAATCTATAGCCAGAAAAACATTTTGTTAGCATCGCTTATGTCAAATGTTCAAATTCTGGCTCTGCTTTTCTCATTTGTGCTTTTTCTCCTCCTGTTTCTTCCTTTTGCCTGACATGAGACTGCTTTTTTCCTGTACTAGCATCATCTCATTCTGGGGAAACATTACATAGGTGCAGCATGGAGGAGAGGAAGTGGAATAGGAAGCTCTGGTCCCTTCATACGTGAGCAATGGGCAGAATGAATTCAAGTATGCCTTACAAAGATCCAAAAGCAATTTGGGATGTTTTCCCAGTTACACAAACCGAACACGATGCTTGTCCTACATGCATGCTCAGGAGGCTGATCTATGCGCTGTGTGAACTAAGATATGTTGTTATTAAACCTTCTTCCCTTCCCACCTTCAAACAGCTTGTCAAGGGGCTGCAGCAGGAGCTGAACCGCCTGTACACACTGTTCTGCTCTCGGAACCCAGAGTTTGAGGAGAAAGGAGGGAAAGTCTCCATTGTGTCCCACTCTCTGGGCTGTGTCATCACCTACGACATCATGACTGGCTGGAACCCGGTCAGCCTGTATGAACAGTTGCTGCGGAAAGAGGAGGAGGAGCTTGAAGACACTTGGATGAGTTATGAGGAGCGGCGTTTGCTTGAAGAACTTTACATAACCAAACAACGGTAATGCATCCACTTTGGTTATGAAAGGATAAAACCACAGCCCTACGTGACGCCCTTTGGGTGTTTCCAGAACCCACCATAGCTCTTGTATTTTGCAGCTGATGTTCCTCTGACGATGCTGAACGGCGGTGGTGGATGCTAACCGCAGAACTAAGCAGGCAGGGAGCTGGCAGTGCTAATGAGAGCTCTGAATCCGTATCCTACAGACTATACCAAACTCAAGTAGCTGCTACTCACTGCTCAGATGCGCTGGGAGCTCCTAGCCAAAAAGAAAGGGCAGGGTCAGGCCATGAGCCCCGCAGATATTTGAGGTAGCTCACAGGTGTGCAGTGAACTGAAACACACAGAACCTGAGCAGTGAAATGCCAGAGTCTCTAGAGAAAAATGAGAAGTGTTCTCTGAGACTGAGCTTGGAAATTGAGCTCCACCAGCTGGGTGCAGATGTTGTGGTTGCTGTGATTGGGCTTAGGGGATTACTGTTCTGCTGCAGATCATTTACCAGTTTCTGCCTGCTGCCATTTAGAAATGTTAATGCAGTTCTTAGTGCAGAGCAGCACTGCCCATTGTGACAGATTGGATCTTGGTTTCATTGCCTTGCAAGTGTTGGTAGGGATTTTCAGGATGAGGTGACCATGTAGATAATCACTCTGCCCTCACACTGTTATGGTGCTTTCTCTGTTCTAACCTGGCTTTCCGGGTACTGTGAGACTTCATAGACAGAGAATCTAATGATGAACACAGGAGCATGAATTTCAGTCTTTCCAGTGGTGCTTTGGGAACGTTTGTATTGCATCAGATCCGCTGTGCCTGAGATCAGTATGTGTGTAATTAGGGATGGGTACAGGACATCTCTAACAGCTGCAGGGCTGGATAAAGTGTGGTCTTTCAGAAAGTAGAGAAGTAAAAGACCCAAAAATCGTGCCCAGGGGTAAGGTGACCCTACAGGCATATTACTGATGGAAAATTACAGTTTTTATAGCCATGCTCCGGCTCCTTAGGTATGCAGATGCATTTCACTTTTCATCCCAGTAATCCGAGCACCATTTGACACAGGCACTTGTGTGATAGTGGCTCCCCTGTTCACAGGCCATCGTAGTGTCATTCAGTCTGGAATGGTAAAGGATGTTTCTATCTCCTGGATTTCTGGTGTTGCAGGGCTCTCAAACATGTAGTGGATTTCTGAAAATACTTATGCCTGAGTGAGGTGTGTGACAGCGTGCATAAATATACTGCATTGTAGAACATGAGCATATGCATTTTATTTATTGGAACCCTTCAAGAGCAGCTTACAAGAGTCAAGAATTCTGCATGCCTCCTTTTTTAAGACCAGATCACATTCATTGAAGCATACTAACTGGTTGAGAGGAATACTCTTCAAAAAGCTTTAGCTCCAGACTAGTATCTTTCTAATCAGGGCGACAGAGGTTAGCCTTCATATTTTTGCTTGCAGAATGCTTTAGGAGAACTTGAAGAGGTGCTTTTTCCTGCTTTGACGAGGGCATAATGCTCTAGTGCTGGGTTAGATGTTGTTCATCCCACAGACTGGTGAAAGATAAAGGACCCTTTTTAGAGATAGCTGAAAATGCGAGACCCTGTCCTTCAGATATTCCACTGCAGTACAGAACTCCATAATGGGCCATGGATTCTCCTGTGGCTGTGGCTGAACAAAACAAACTAAAATCAGGCCATGTGGCTGCAGAAACCAAGGAAGCAGGAGGTGAATCACCTGCTCCTGAGCAGGGAGGATGGGCAGATGCTTGGGGTGATGAATGTCTTGATTGATTCCTCCCGTGGTCAGAGGAACAGGATTTCACATGCATTGATTCTTAATCAACTGGGCTGCCTCAGAGGAAAAAACAGCGCAGTCACTCTCTCTGCCTAACAGGCAAACTGTTGGACCTTGCATCAGTGCCTGTTTGGATCAGGTCCCTTAATACGTCTGCATTGTTCTGTCTCAGAAAGATCTCCTTATTTTCCAGGTTGAAAGAGATAGAAGAAAGGTTACAAGGCTTAAAGGCATCCACCATAGCAAAAACACCTGTCTTAAAATTTAAGGTATGTATATCTAGATTTTCACTGAATGTCCTAACCACACTAAAAACACACTTGCAGTTAGAATTATTCTACTTTCTTTTTTTTCCCATGTCACTAGACATTGGTAAAATGGCATAAATGTGTGTGGATGTACATAAACACACTACTACATTCATGTGCTAATATTTGTTACAAGTATATATGTTCCTATGTGAATACATAACCCAGTGTTTGAATAGCTATCACACTGCACACACTTGTGTAAGGTAAAAACCATTTGACAGATTGCACCAATCACATACCTTGAACAACTGTACTTCTGCTTTGTCAATTGAACCATCTGCCCTTGGGACTGCTTCTCACCTCTGAGTCAACCTGAGTGAATTTCCTCCAGCAGTGGATTTTCCTTCAGAATTACTCTGGCCTGACAGGTAGGGCAGGTTACTTCTAGACTCGTGAAAAAGACTGCTTGCTAATTGGCTCTGTCAATTGCTAGAATTTCATGTCATTGGAAAAAGACATTTCTAGCTTTGTGGTGGGATGTGCAACGCTTTCTGGTTGCTCTGCTGTATCCTAAAATATGAAACAATAAAAATGTGACATGGTAGATAAGAAGAAAACAGATTATTGTTCTTAACTTGCCGTTTGTCTTTCCTTCTGAATTCAGAAGCACTCCCAGAAAGCCAAGGTCAATCTTGAGCTGTGAAAAAGAAGAAACTAACTGTAATTCAATTTGTCATAGCCTCCTTCTTTTATCACGGCTTAAAAACGCATGTTGTGCTATTATCTCTACCATCAAAGAAGCTGGAGTCAGACATACTGCTCTTGCTGTGTGCAAAGATTATTCTTCACTCAGCTGCGTTTAAACTGAAGGTTTCTTTGAACAGATGCTTTTTAGAGAGAGCAGGAGGGGAGGGGAAAAGAAGGCAGAGAGAAGAGTGAACTATATCCAGATTACTCTTAGGTAATTTCCCATTGATGTGCATCCTTTTTCTTACCCTTACTGAAAAAAACAAAAAGACATTTTGGTTTTTTTATTATGTCAGTACTCCTAGCATAGAGCAAAGCTAATGACGCCTCCTGCTTGAGTACTGTGCATGGGACAGACCTCAAGGGGAAGAAGGGAGACCTCGAGGGGAAGAGGAAGGCTTTCCATGAATGTGATAGCAAGGTGCTCCTGCTAAAGGATGATTTCTGCAGGATGTCATTGAGAGATGATTGCTCATCAGCAAGCTTCCTGAGGGTGACTAGCTTGTTGAAAGAGAAGTAACTGCTTTGTAGGCACTGACTACCAAGCACCATGGCTCTTGGCAGACAGAGCTCTCATAGGATCTTGAGTTGTTATTCACTGCAAGTGCTTGATCCACAAATTGCTTTGAGCTGTGCAGTGCAGGAGGCTGGAGTCTTTGATCCCTGATCTCTTAGGCTGTCATCCACAACCAAGTGGCTACGTGCAGTTGTAATGGAAAGGACTAGCCAGAATATGGACATGTGGGGAATGGTGTAATACCTGCTTCTGCTTAACATTAAAATGAATCCATTAGGTCTTCTGTTCGTGAATCATAACCAGGAGAAAAGTGCTATCCTGAAAAGTGGTGTTCTTAAAAATTGCTTCTCTGTTAAACATTTACAGGAGTGCATGTGGAGTGCCTCAGTCCTGCTTCATGCAGGAACACCAAAATTGATAGATGCCACTTTGCTACAGTGCTAAGCGTCTAATGACTGCAATTTAAAGGGCTTTATTTTTGGAAGGCTTGCTTTTGATTTTTAGCATTGGTATTGATTTATTGCCACCCTTCAAGGTACCCTGCAGTTGGCACTTTGTCTTTGTGAACTTTACCAGAGATGGAAGATCATGTTGAAGACTTGTGCGTGGAAGAAAATAATACAGCAAAGAATGCTGTGCTCCAAGAAAAATCTGTCTGTGAACACTGTTAATGTTTATTGATAGAAACCTGCACCTCGTGACCATTTAAATTGTTTACCTTTTTAAGGATCTTTGCATGAGGAGAATTCTGGGAAGTATCTGCCAGCAAATGTCAGCTGGCAGTCGCTTTCTGATTTCTTTCTGAGGCACAAAGACCATAACTGTGTACTCCAAATGCTGTATGTGGGCAAGTCAGATGGACAGGGTTGGAAGTGATGTACTCACTTCAAAGGGTAACACAGTGAATATCTGTTTCTATCTTATTTGAAGATGAGAAGGCTTTTTGTCCAAACTGCAGAAATGTGAGGGTCTCTGTGAAGATTAATTGAAAGAAGAGCTGCTTTGAACCAGACTGGAGTAACACTACAGATGACAGTGATCTGTGCTTTGCAGCATATGACACTGAATAGCTCTGCTGAAGACCTAGGGCTTTTTTCCATTGAATTGGAGCTCGGATATTCTTTTGGAAGGAAGAGGTGGAGTACCAGCGCCAAGTCAGAGGAGGAGGAATGTTTTGTTCAATGCTGGAATCTGGTGGATGAAATGGACCATTATTTCCACACCCTCGCTCCGTGTGCTGACATACAGCAAAGGCGTGTAGGAATCCAGGCGTTCTCCTCATGCACCCAGCAAGAATAAACTCCTCTCACCAGTTGAGTAGCAGCATGCTGACAGTGTCTTGGTTGCAGTGCCCTGCAAACTGGTGCTACTACTGGGAAAGTGACAGTGAAGCTGGTACAATGATCAAACCAATTTTTCATATAAGAAAACATTTTAAAGGTTGAGAAGTAATTTTGATTTTGAAAAATATTTTTCACTAAAGAGTTTTATATTTGATGTTCCTCGGAGACAATATCTGAGGATTGGTGATGGGATACAAAGGCATTCACCTCTTGGTCACTGTTGAATCCTGGCCTACGTTGGCAGTGACCAGAAGTCATTACCACTGATGAGTGCTCAGTGATGTATGTCAGATGGGCTCATGGCTGCAGTGCAGGTTTGCTCTGCCTGCCTGGCAGTGCTGAGAGCAATCCTTGCAGAGCAAGTCGCAGCAGCTTTGCACAGCATGAGCGTGAGCTGCAAGGTAGCTCAGTGTGCTGCTCTCAGGCAGTGCTTCTGTTTGTGATGTGTGACACTTCTGATGAGCACCATTCTGTTCACTTAACACCGGATATTTGCAAGAGGTTGTACATATCACCAGCTTGTATGTGTGTGTGACTACCAGGAGGGTTTTCTGTAGGTCATCTCCAGTGCTCAGTGTAGTTGCACTGATGGCTTCTGTAGCAAAGTGAGTCAAGGAGTACTAGCTGAGGATAAGGTTATGGAGCTGTGGTGAGCTTTGAAAAGTTGCATGAGAAGCAGACTTTAATGATGTGAAGCACATCACATTTCTTTCCTTGATGTCTTCTAAGTTCTTGTATTACTCCTTCCAGTGTTGGTAGACTTCTTTCAGTTCAAATACCCAACATAGTTTCCAATTCTCAAACGTTGCAGCATCACAACATGTAGCTCTCTTCTCACAGCAAAAAAAAGCAGGAAACTTAACTTGTTATGTTGCACTATGTATATTACAGTGCTCTTCCCTGCTTTAATTTACCAATACTATACAAGTCCCTTGGTTGAAACAGAGAGAAATCAAATCCAGCCATGTTAGAAAGCATTATTTCCACCCTCACTCATGCAGATGAAATCTCTCCTTAGGTTGAGAATTTCTTCTGTATGGGATCTCCACTAGCAGTGTTTTTGGCATTGCGTGGCATCCGTCCAGGAAACAGCGGGAGTCAAGATCATATTCTGCCCAGAACAATTTGTAACCGCTTACTGAATATCTTTCATCCAACAGATCCAGTGGTGAGTTGTAATTGCAGTTGCAAGCTTTTACCTTCTTTTGTTTCTAAGTGTTGGCTGTGTGATAATGAGTTCTTCAAAGTGTGTGAGTCGACACACGTGTGTTCCTGCACTGCACTGGCTGTTCATGATTGCTGTGCAGTACCTCGGGTTTTGTAGCAGTTGAGAAGCATTTGCTGCAAATGGTTGCCTTCAGTATTGTGCACTTTGCTTCTCTTTTCAAATTAATAAGGGTAAAATTTGAGTGTGCTCAACTTGCTTTTTTGCAAAGCCAAGTTCCAACTTGGCTTTAGCTTACTGGCTTCCATTAAATGTCATAGATCCAAGTCTACTACTGCCATCATAAAAAGGCTTCACAAGCAGTTGACAAAATACTGTAGAAAAACAAAGACGCCGTCGTTTTCCCTAAGGGAGTAACAGATTGTTAGAGGGTGGGATAGGCCTTGGGAAGGAAGTATTGGTATAGCTTTGTGCTGTCCTTGTGCTCCTCCATAGGCAGCCAGTGTTAGCTGTCATCAAAGGCAGGATGTTGGGCCTCTGATCCATACGGCCTTGGCAGCTTCTTTGACAGGAGTCTGACTGGGGAGTTGCATGCTTTCCTATCCAGACTCTGGTATATGGTATTATAGTATAGTCTGGTATATAGTATAGGGTATATAGATTTCAGTCTTGTCACTCTGTTTTCTTTCCTGAATTCCTCTTGCAGGCCTATAGATTAGAACCTTTAATCCTGAAGCACTACAGCAACATTTCACCAGTCCAGATCCACTGGTACAACACCGCAAACCCTCTACCTTACGAGCATATGAAGCCAAGTTTTCTCAACCCAACAAAAGAACCTACCTCAGTTACGGATGGCGAAAGTGCTTCAACTGTACCAAGCCCAACTACTTCACCAGTCATGGTTCGGCGCCACTACGGGGAGTCCATAACCAACATAGGCAAAGCCAGTATACTGGGTAATTGCTCCTTGTCCCTTTTCTGCAGGGGTCTTCTCACACAGCATCACTGCTGTGTGGTGTTTAAGGTCCAACTGTCAGCGAGTCATTCCTGCCTGTTTTCAGTGCTTGTTTTGCGTGGGGTGCATTGCTTGTTCTAATCCAAACTAACATTTGCTTTGAAGAAAAGGCAGTTTACATAATACACTGAAGTCAAGGAAAGGATGCGTTGCAGAGAGAGGATGTGGGTCAGAGAGTTTATGCTATTGCCGCTTTACTGTCTGCCTTCTTATGGTAACATCCTGGGGGCTTCATATAATTTCCACTGTACTTCATGTTTTGAAATACTTTGAAGCTTGTTTTGTGTTTGCATTCTGTGGTATTGACAAATAGAAGGAAAAAAATCACTCTGTATAGGTTAAATGGAACCCAATACTTTTATAATTTTACCAAGGGAGATTCGGGCTAGTTCACTGTGAAGTCTGTCCCTTTCTGCCTTTCTGAATCAACTTTCCAAATCAGAGTAAGCCCTGATTTAGTAGAGCTTAAAATCACTTTCACTGGAGCTTATGTTTGAGCACGCACATGCAGTTTTTGTTGACTCAAGGACTTTCTTTAGCTCTCTGTGTGGGTTCTGGAAGAAGGTTAGTGTGACCTAGTGCAAGAAATCCTGCCAACCCAACAAATAGAGAGTATAAAAGCAGTTCAGTCCTTAAGTGAAAGCGTGCAGCATTTCAAAGCAGCGTTCTCTCACGGTACACTGCTTTTTGCTGTTTTACTACAGCAACTTCAGTGTCTCGTCCATACGGTGGCAGCAAAGTCAGAAGAAAACATCTCAAATCTGTTCCTAGCTTTTACACCTTTCTTCCTGAGCAACCAAAGGAGTCGGACTGAAGGACGATAGAGCATTTCTAAAGCTCTGTAGGGGTTATTTCATCGTGAGGACCACAAACAAAAGAAGTCTCTTCAATATTCCCATGGGATTCTTAGGTTCAGAAGGCAGCATCACGGTTATGAAACATTTGTCTTAAACTTTCTATAAAGGAGGAATTACAACGCAGACTTAAAAATTCCGGATTCCTTTCTGCAAAAGCATTCCCATCTATTTTTTTGTTCCCCGTAACTACAGGTTCCAAATTACAGCCTTTGCCTGTCCACTAGATTAGCATCGTGATAAACAGTGTACACTTCAGTCAGATAAGCTGTTCCCACCCTAGAAAAGCATGAATAGTGTTTTCCATCACCCCGCTCTAATTGACGGGCGCAGCAGCAGCTTTAATTTGCAGTTTGAATTGGCTGACCTCGTGCTTGTTTTCCTTTTGTTTGTTTGTTTTTGCTGAGCTCAGGAGCTGCGAGCATTGGGAAGGGCCTCGGAGGGATGCTGTTTTCGAGATTCGGCCGCTCAAGTACACAGACTGCAGAGCCAGGAAAAGATGGAGGGGAAGGGGACGACAAGAAGAGCGCTGTGGGAACGCCGCCTTTCTCACAGAGCAGCTCGGGCTTCCTCGAACCCACGTGTTAGTGACTAACACACCTTACGTCCCTTGTGGGAGCAGCATCTCCTGCGTGTGTGTCTTCTGGGAGTGAGTGGAGAGAGCCCAGCGTAAGGCCAGCGAGGTGCTGCAGGGCCTGAAACAGCTCTGCTGTGAGGAGGGCCGAGAGCTGGGGCTGCTCAGCCTGGAGCTGAGGATACTCAGAGATCCCATCCGTGTCTGTTAATACCTGAAGGGAGGTGTGGGGAGGACAGAGCCAGGCTCTGTGCTGTGGTGCCCAGTGCCAGGACGAGAGGCAGCGGGCATAAACTGGAGCACGGACATTCCCTCTGGCCATCACTCTGTGCTGTGCGGGTGGCAGAGCACTGGAACGAGCTGCCCAGAAAGGCTGTGGGGTCTCTCTTTGGAGATCTCCAAAAACCACCCATGCACAGTGCTGGGCTCCAGCTCTGGCTATCCCTGCTTGAGCAGGGCAGTGGACCACATCAGCTCTAGAGGTCCCTTCCAGCCTCAGCCATTCTGTGATTCTTTGAAGGCTGCACAATTACTGACTTTGTTCTCCCTGTTATTTATTTTTTTTTGTCCTCTTAAAAAACATTTATCTGTGTATTTGTGCCCGTCACATATGCTCACACATCTGTGTGTGTGTGAGTTTTAGCTAACGAGACCTGTCCATCAGCAGTTCCTAGACTATCTCTAGGGAAAGCAAAATGATTGCTTCAAGAATTTCAGCCTCTGTAATGAAATGGATTTATGTAAATTTGCCCATACATTTGCAGTTTTGAAGCAATCTCTATTTAAATGCAGGTATGGCTGGAAACAGAGGCTGTCCTTGTCCTGCTCTGAACCCCCCAGAGCACAGAGTGCAATTTTAGCAGCTGGGTTATTTTTTTAAAAGTACATATACTTCCTTTACAGACATTCATACTTTATTTTTAAACTTCTCATCTCAAGGCGGGGCTTTTGCAATCTAAGCAGTCACAAGCATTAGCACTGTTGTATCTTGTGATTGCATTCACATGATGCATTGCAGTCTGTTGATTGCTGCCACTTCCAGCAGATAACCTGCCTGAGTCACTGCTGCGGACAGAGAGTTGGTTTTAAACTTCAGGGAAATGGAGTGGGGTGACAGCCAGCACTGTGGAGCTCTTGATGAGGTCCCTTTGCATGGTGGCACGTTGAGGTCTCCTGCACAATTCCCACATCCCACTTTGCTGAAATCCCATCTGCAGTGCTGTGTCCAGGTCTGAAGCCCCCAGTACAGGAAAGACAGAGAGCTGTTGGAGAGGGTCCAGAGGAGCCACAAAGATGAGCAGGGGGCTGCAGCATCTCCCCTATGAAGATGGGGTGAGGGAGCTGGGCTTGTTCAGCATGGAGAAAAGAAGGCTGCGGGGTGAGCTCAGTGCAGCCTGCAGTACCTAAAGGGAGCCTGCAGACAGGAGGGGAGTCAGCTCTTGGAAAGGGGAGATGGCAGCAGGACAAGGGGAAATGGTTTGGAGTTGAGGGAGGGCAGATGGAGGTTGGATGTCAGGGGAAGTTGTGTGCTGTGAGAGTGGTGAGGTGCTGGAACAGCTGCCCAGAGAGGCTGTGATGCCCCGTCCATCCCTGGAGGTGTTGAAGGCCAGGTTGGATGGGGCCCTGGGCAGCCTGGGCTGCTGTGAAATGTGGAGGTTGGTGGCCCTGCATGGCACAGGGGGGTTGGAGCTTCGTGATCCTTGAGGTCCCTTCCAATCTGGGCCATTCTGTGATTCTGTGAAATCCCGTCTATAGGAGGAGAACTTGGAGCAGAGGCCACGAATCTGTGGGCAGAGTGATGCAATCCATGGCCCGAGTGTCTGCTTCCGAGAGAGTGGCCGCACGGCTTGCAGTGGGGTTTGGCTTCCTCCCAAGCTTCTGTAACAGAGACAGGGTTGGTCGGGGTGTTTTTGCTGCAGAGCGACTGGTTCTGAATGCATGCATCTCAGTGGAAATGACTGTGGTTGTCTCCTGGTATGCAGAGGCTCCGACTCCCTTTCCTTGCTGTGTTTGGAAAGCAGCGGAACGCCGCTGTGAGAGACGAAGGGCTGTCACTCCCCCGTGCTGCTGTGCCATGACCGCGGAGGCAGCGCTTGTTGTGATGCTCCATTTATGCTCTCTCCCAGCCAAGAATTAAAATTCCTTGAAATTGCCTATGATAAATGGCTGCATTTTTTACTCAATATGGGGTTTTGGCTTTTGTAGCTAAGCAGGCTTTTAGTTTTGTCCTTTTCACTCTGTTGCTCCTTGCAGATTTTCTAACCGCTGAAGTGCCTTCGCAATAGGTCAACCATCCCAGTGCAACGCGCAGTAAGAATTGCTCTGAATGTGGTATTAATCAAAGCAGCCATTACAATGGAAAGATAACTGCTGAAATGTATTTGGAATAATCTGGAAATCAAAAAGAGCTATGGTTTTCTGAAAGCACGTCGTGCTGCATGTAGTCTGAATGGGGATTCGGCTGCCAGAGGTACAACAGATCCCTTCAGTGCTGCAGGCTCTGAGCATCCCCCTCCTGACAGAGTTTGCCGACGGGATCTCAGCATCTCCTGGGTATTTCTGTGCAGTTATCATAAGGAGCATAGATTTATTTCTATAATCAGCATACAAAGATTATATACAGTTACTTATATATATATACCAGCTCTTTTCAAGCTTTAGGTTTGGTTTCTGCAGAATCAGACATAAAGGTGGCAGACAAATGAGCAAGGATTTCTTTTCCTTCCACTGACATACAGTTCTAACAGCGTTTCTCCTTCTTCTCCAATTTCTAGTGGAACTGGAGCACAGGATTGATTTCGAGCTCAGGGAAGGTCTGGTGGAGAGCAGATACTGGTCTGCAGTCACGTCGCACACTGCCTATTGGTCATCTCTGGATATTGCTCTTTTCCTCCTCACCTTCATGTACAAACACGACCAGGACGATACTGACAAATCCAATTTGGATGCTATCTGAATTTTTGACTGGGGGTTGGGAGGGATGGGAAAGGAAATCTGAAAACCAATGGCACAAAACAGATGTTAAACCGCAGTATGTATGGCATGGAGGTTTCAGGTTTAAGTGCATGTTTGGGTTTTTTCCTGTTTCTAAGGAGCAAAAACGATTTGTATGGAAAAGCACTTTATAGTTTCAAACGTTTTGCAGTGCTTAATCAGACCTGAGGTTGTTCCAAATTCCTGTTGACTTTGCATAAAAAGACGACGCAACGTGCAGCACCACTTAAGCACCATCGTGCATCGTGCTCGGGTGACATTCTTGTTGATGACCATAATTGCTGTTCAGTTCATTAAAGTATAAAAAGAGGAGTTGATTTAAAAAAAAAAAAAAAAAAAAAAAGCGAAATTAATTTCCATTAACGAAGTATGTGTTACTTACAAACCTAAAACTGCCATGTTCCAATGTCGTGTGTGTCAGTCAGTAACGAACGGTGGTGTCGTTTCTCTAGGATCTGTTCAGCTCCACATCCTGTTACCCACAGCACCATTCTGAGGGCTGGCTGCTGGGCCGTGTTCTGCGTGGCACGTGGAGAAACCAACGCTGAAAAGCACCACGAGGATCTGAAATACTGTAATTATAATTTATTATCTCCGTTTCATTTTATCCCAGTGTATAAATCATTACTTTTTTACTGGTTTCTTTTGACATAATTTAAGAACCACGTTTATTTTCTACAGCGTTAAGACTTTTTCTCAGAAATGCATATCTTTGTACTACTATTCAGATGAATATATGGACACTGTGGCACACTTTAAGTATTTTTTCATTAAAATAAATATTTGTGGTTTCACACAAATGACGTTAATCACCTTCTTCTCAAAGGTGAGTCATTGCTTGGCCAGGTCCCACGTGTCTCTGAAACGTATGAAGGCTTTGACCTCAGTGCATAGAGGGTTCCTTTGCCATGTGTAGATGTGAATATATGTGAATATACAGAATATATATTCTGTATGGAAACATATATTTGTCTGTGTATATAGACATGCAAGGAGCCGTCAAGAGGAAGGAGAGCAGCAGTATATAAACTTGGTGAGACCTGAGGATACCAGAACTTAGGTTGGATTTGCATCTGAAACTAATTCAGGAGCCTCCAAGAGGGATGTGTTGTGATGAAAGGAAATGTCTCCCAATGAAACACTACAAGGTCACTGCTGGGATCTGAAGCCATGCACAGCTCTAGAGCAAAGTGCCAGATCCACAGCCTCTGCACTGCCTCTGGCTGGGGTATCTGTGGTCTGTATGGCATGTTTAGAAGCTGCAGAATCTCAGCTTTCCTTTGCAAAGGATGAGGCCGTGGTGTCAGCAGATAGCCGCGTTCTCAATGTAAACAGATGTGGAACCAGCAGCCCCAACCAGCATCCTTCAATCCTGGAGTTTGGGAGGGGGAGGGCAGCAGCGCTGCTGCTTGGGCTCTTGTTTGTGCCCGAGTGTGTGGTGCAATGGGGGAGGAACGGGGCGTGAGGCTGTGTGTTGTGGTTAGGGATTTAGCAGCAATTACAAAGGGATAAACAGTGCAGAGGGGGTAAAGGGAGGAATGGGAGGTGGGGGGGAAGGGCAGAAGATGATGGGAACGGTGCTGCTATAAATGCAGCAAGACATTGGGTCTGTGGAACTCTGGCTATTAAATCTTTTTGGCCTCAGTGAATGTAACATGCCTGGCAAGTTCACCTTGTTTGATGAGTAATCATTAAAAATTCAGGTCTGCCCTTTAAGCGGAGGGCAGTTTGACACCTCCAGAAAACAGGCTTTTGTTTTTGCGGCTGCTTTCCTTGTTCAGTCAACCCTTCTTAATTAGGAGAACTTGAACATAAAAGGAGAATCCCCTTTTATATTTGGAACATGCAAAACATTTCCGAATGCGCCCTGTTTGTGCTCGGGGTTGGATGGTGTCACAGCTGCTGGATGGTGTGCACAGCTTTCCAGCTCTGCATCTCCACGAGATCTTGTTTTCAGCGCTGCGAGCAGAGGGGGTTAATTCCTACAATTCTTGTGGTCTGCGTAAACTCTGCCGTTGTCCAGAACATGTTTCAGATTTATGGGATGGCTCTTTTCCCCGCACCGGGACGTGCTGGAGCCTGCGGAGCACGCTCCATATAAGGGCTGGGATCCTGGTGTACCTCCTGTGTACCTCTGGGGCAAGCAGGGAGAGGGGCAGGAGCTGAGCATCGCCTTGCCTTCGTCCTGCTCTCATGGAGTGGATTCTGGTCCAGCACTTGAGAAGCATTCCTAACATTGTGACAAAGACGACGCGCCTGAGGAGTTAAACGGAGGTTTATTCTAAAGCACATACAAGCATACGATGCGTGTTATAGGCTGATTTTCATCTTTCTAATTCTCAAAAAACCTCTCTTCCCCTCTTGCGAAGATGATTTGCTCTTTGATAACGGCACTTTAAAGCCATTTGACAAAAAAAGGGCTGCCCCATGTCTGCAGCACAGCACAGCCTCGAGCACAGCCCCATCACTGCACGCTGGATTCTAAATTTCACGCTTAAAACTTTCTGGTCAGATGGCCTGCTGCAGAATACAGAGCTGGAATGTGCTGGCTTCCAATGACCGACTTGTTTTCATTCACAGAGTGATGTTTAGCCTTACAAGCTGTGTTGGCGGGTGGTTTTTCTTGAGAACCCAAGATAAGGGCAATGAACCGCCTTGCTGTCGTCTCCTGACTGATCCTCAGCTGTTTTCCTGCACTCGTCCAAATTTGATGCTCACTGCTTGGCTGTCTTTTTTAATACGAGGTCGTTTTGCAAATAACCTCCTTCAATTTTTTAAATTATTTTACTGAATTTCATCCCTTTGCTCCTAATTCTTCTGTCATAGCTGCTAGGTGACCAGCAACAGGGCGAGAGGTGATGGCCTCAAGTTGTGCCAGGTGAAGTTCAGGTTGGATATTAGGAACAGCCTCTTCTGTGCAGTGGCACAGCTGCCCAGCAGTGGTGGGGTCACCATCCCTGGAGGTGTTCAGTGGAGATGTGGCACTGAGGGACGCGGGCAGTGGGATGGTGGGGTGGGCTGGGGTTGGCCTTGGGGATCTTGGAGGTGTTTTCCAGCCTTAATGATTCTGTGATTCCGTGCTTGCATTCTGCTGCTGCTTTATTTTGCAGTGACAGCCCAGCTGGCCACGTGCAATTATTTCAGCTCCTTATCAGTCTGAGGCTGACCAGAAAGAAGCGTCCATTCTCATGTCTGTATTCCACCTGGTTGCCACCTCCTGCACGATTCTGTTTGTCCTGCTGCTCCTTTCCCACACCACTCATGCAGAGCTGGCTGTGCCTCGAGCTGAATGGTTGGAAATTGATTTCTTTTACTTCATTCATCACTATGTCAACTGTTTGCGGTTAGATAGTTAATGTACCTTTGTGTGCCCTCTGCCCCACGAGTTTATTTCAAATGTCATTCCCTTTCCTATTTTTCTGTTGTTGGCTTGGAGTTGAGGTTTCTGCCTCAGAGTCCCTCTCTGATGTCTTCGCTGATTTTCATCGAACCACAGAGTGATTGGAGTTGGAAGGAGCCCTTCAAAGCCCTCTGGCTCCCCTCCCTGCAGTGCACAGGGACACCCACAGCTCCATCAGTGCTCACAGCCCATCCCCTGACCCTGGGTTTCTCCAGAGATGGGGCACCACCACCTCTCTGGTCAACCTGTGCTGTGCTCACCATCTGTGGTGTAAAAAAGCTTCTTCCTTATATCCAACCTAACTCTCCCCTGCTTTAGTTTGAAACTATTTCCTCTTGTCCTGTCACAACAGACCCCACTAGAAAGTCTGTCCCCCAGATTGCCATCCATGCAACAGTCCCATTTGCTGGTTTATCAGCCTGACATTTGTATTAAACTCTGCATTTTGCCTGCACTTAATAAGCATTTTCCAAAAAGGCAAACTTTGTCCAGGTTTATTTTTCCCTCCCTCTTCCCCAGGTACGTTTCAGTACCACTTCCCTACTGCCCATTATCTCAAACCTCTTCTGAAGATTTCTGATCTAATTTCTGCTTTGAACTCAGTTTGCTGGCATTGAAGCTTGCTTGCTGCAGCACAGTCTGTGCATTCTCAAGACGTACAAGCTGAAGCCCTGCAACCCATTTGAAATCCAAGAGATATTTTGCTGTCGTGATCCAGGAGACTTCTCCTAGAGCTCAGTGTCAGCTCAGCCCACATGGATGCATTCATCCTCCAGGATGATAAAATCCTAGAATGGTTGGGTTGGAAGGGACCTCAAAGCCCACCTATTTTCAAGCTCCTGCCACGGAGTTATGGAATGGGTTGGGTTGGAAGGGACCTCCCAGCCCCCCATTCCCACCTCTGCCATGGGCTGGCTGCCCCCCACCAGATCAGGCCCAGAGCTCCATCCAACATGAACAATTTGAGTGTGCACATTCAGTGTCTCCAAAGAATAGGGAAAGCCCCAATATGCCTGGCTGTTGAGCTTCTAGATCACCCTGGAGGTCAGTGCTCTCTGGTCCCATTAGAAAACAAATTCCACTCTCAGCCCTTCCACTGAAGATGCCCCATCTCCCTGCAGCAGCCCTCAGCTGCATCCTTTCTCTTTGGGTGTGAGAAGTCGCTGAGTGCACAGCAAACATGGTGCCATGGTTTTCCATGCCTCATTGATCCCAAGTGTGGAGGTGGGAGAGGTGACGTGCAAACCTCCCTGCCCCGAGCTCTGCAGACCCCACATCTGCTTTGTTCTTCTTGCTTTCATGGCTCTTTCAGTTTCTCTCAAAGTCTGTATCACATCCCAGAGCAATGCCATAGTTTGCAGTTGAAGAGCAGCCTCTTGAAGGGTCTTGACATTTCACTGTGCTGTTTGATAAAGAAGATTCTTGGCCTCCAGTTTAAAACAAAATGTCAAGTTTGTTTGCGCTAAAGTATCTAGTTTGGGGGTTTTAACTACTTTCTGTAGTTTGTAAGAAGTCTCTTTCAGCATAGGTTTTGAATTAGTAATAGCTGTTTGAAGTAGAAATGACTTCATCTTATCCTGTTCCTTATGAATCCAGACTTTTGCCCTCTGATTTGCCAGCACAGCACAGGGAGTGGTGGAGTCACCGTCCCTGGAGTGTTCCAGAACCGTGGAGATGTGGGTCTGAGGATATGGTCAGTGGGCATGGTGGGGCTGGGTTAGGGCTGATCTTGGAGGTCTTGGAGAGCACCCACAGCTCTCTGGGCAGCCTCTGACACTCTTGGCAATGAAGCCAATGGACCACATGTTCCACAGTGCGTTCTCCACGTTTGTGCTTCCAGAAATGAGTTTCCACAGTGGAAAAGAGAACTGTGAATGATTGAAGAGGATGGGTTGGGTGGGCTGGTGGAAGTGGGCACAGGGCGGCGATGCCCATGGGGCAGCAGTGCAACATGGGGATTTGCAGGGCTTCATTGCTGGGAGCCAGGCTGGGCAGGATGCTTCCCAACAGCTGTGGGTGGCCCTGGATCATGGATGGAGCCTTGGGCAGCCTGGTGGGGGCACCCAGCCCACAGCAGGAGGGTTTGGGGAGGCCCAACTCAACCCAACCACGCTGTGATTCCACAATACAATTCAGTACAGACATGGTGAGACTTCCTTGCTAAGGAGGATGGCTCAGCCCCAAACCAGCACTGCTCAGCTCCAGCTGCTCCCACCAAGGGGTACCGGCGCCGTGTCTCGTTGCTGCTTCACAGCACTCATGTTCAGGTGTGTGTGTGTACTTTGCAAGAAGGGCTCACACTGAAACAAACAGCCAAATGTTTTCTGTTAACAAAGCGTGTCGCAGTGGGATGGGACGGCTCTGCCTCTTGATGCACTCCTTGGGGTTTCTCCTGTATGCTTACCAGACTGCC